TAGTTGCCTGTACTTGTTTACTAGATCTAGATGCCATATTTCTTTCTGATGTCACTGTTTTTCCTGTTGATTTACTTGTTTATGTTCAAGGTCTCTGAGTTTTATTTTTCCTGGAATCTTTGGTAATTTCACTCCCCCCCCATCTTATTTTCCTTATCACTCCCTGACTCCCTTCTCTTTGATTTTGGTTTCCTTGGGGGCTGTATCTCAAAAGGTACCATATCACCCTCCTTCCATGATGAACATTATGGTTTACCAGCCTAGGTCTCTGCCCCAAGTGTCTTTTAGGTGGTCAGAAGTAGCTCCAGCTGGTTCTAGCTATATTCTTTCCTTATGTTTGGTGGAGTGCTGCATAGCTCTCCACAAGCATGATGTCCTCTCCTGGTAACCTATCCTACTATCTCTGTTTCTCAATTCTATGGCTTAGCACCACCAGTTCAGACCCTACTTTCTTTGGAACTGGCAGAAACTGTTATGACAGCACCAGTACTTCTAGGCTGCAGCCTCTGGAAGGCTTTTACTCTTAAAGGGCTGTGGCCAAGTGGGCTTCCTCAGCCTAGAGCTGAGGATCTCTATGGCACAGGAAAGAGGGAGATGGGAATGGGGCTCAGGGGTGGGTTTTGAGGTAAGCTAGTGACAGGTTCTTGGGTCTACTAGTACAGCCTAGCTGCCAATAGCATAAGAGGAGGAAGAGGGACACTGAGTGAGCTCAGGTTCTGTAAGCCTTAGTTCTTGGGTTTTAGGAGATTTTTTTTAAACTTTCTTTTGGATTCTGGGTACTCCAAACCATGGAAACAACTGAAGTTGCCTTCTCTTTAGTGTATAATTTCTGTTTTGGTAAGGCCTGAAAGGTTGCAGGGATCAGAAAATATGTCTAGTCTACCATCTTGTTGCTCACATGACCCAGAAATCCGAAACTGACATTTCTAAAACATAAATCTAATCTTGTCATTTTTCTAGTCAAAAATCTTTGGTGCCTCTCTATTGCCTTTGAGATAAAACAGAAAATCTCCAAGCCTTCCATAAACTGGCTCTCACCTATCTTTCCAATTTTACTTCATATTTCTTACCTTCATTCTCCATCCCAGTCAAACTGGCCTGATTTTGTTCACTATACATATGTATTTCATCTTTTGCCTGTCTGCATCTGCAGAAGTTGTCCCTCATTTCTAGAATACACTTCCTCTTCATAGCTACCAAAGTTAGAATCTCTAGCTTAACCCAGCTTAAAATCCTTAGTTATGATCCATAGCCTCCTCCTTCATAAAGCCTCTCCTGCTCTTCCCATTTATTAGCACTTTGTCCACATACAGTTTGCACTTATTTATCCGTGTATGTTGTACAACCTTCCTTCACAACCCCCCCCCAGAAGGGGCAAGGACTATTTATTTTTTATTTGTATCCCACCAACTAGCACAGAGCCTGAAACATAGTGGATACATAATAAATGTCTGTTGAATTACTTTGAGGCCCAGTTCAAAATACAGTAGCTCCAAAAAGGCTGAATCATAGGAGCATAGATTTAGAACTGGAGAAGACTTCAGAGGCCATCTATTAGTCCGATCCCCTCATTTTACAGAGCACAGAACTGATGCCCATAGAGGTTAAGTGACACAGATAGTAAGTGTACAAGGCAGGACTCAGGCCCTCTAACTCCACAACTAATGTACTTTCTACTCAGTTTTGCAGTCAAATTCCCAGCACAACACACACACCCTCTACATATATACACACACATAAACATGCACACATGTGTGTATACACATTACATATACACATATATGTATATGTACATATGTGTATATGTATACACACATGTATATCTTTCATATCACTCAATACAATCTATGCTCACTAAAGATATGGTTGTGTTCTGGTTAAAAAATAACAATCATGGTGGCAGCTAGGTGGTGCTGTGGATACAGCACCAACCCTGAAGTCAGGAGGACATGAGTTCAAATCTGCCCTCAGACAAAACACTTGACACTAGCTGTGTGACCCTGGGCAAGTCACTCAACCTCAATTGCCTAAAAAAAAAAAATGAAAAATAATAATCATTGGTATAGTTTCAATATCTTTTGATATCAAAAGACATCTCCTCTAGAATATCACATTACCAAAGTAAATTTAACAACCAGCCTGAGAAATAGCTTTTTTCTGAGTCTAAAGCTATGTCTTTACTATAGCTATGTCATTACTAATCAAAATTTTTTAATCACATTCAGGCTCTGTTTTTATGTTGATTTTTCTTCACAGCATTTCTCATTATTTAACTTTTAAATACAACAATTTCTTATTTATACTTCCTAAATGCTTCTTAACTAGTTACTACTTATTCTTTTCAGCTTTGCTAATCATTCCCAACAGTTGTAAATGGTTTACCAAAAATCAAAACTAACACAGCCCCCTCCCTCACTAAAAAAAAATACCCTGAAAATCCTTCTCCAGCCACAATGGGACATCAATAAGAACAATAAACTTCTGGGGTAAAATATCATCCAAGACAGTTAAATACCAGTTAGATGGACAGCTTATTATATACTGTCCTTGATGACAGAAACAGTGTGTTGTAACTTTTCACAGCATCTGGTACAGTACAACTTGCCAAGTCATGGATACTTAGATTAAAATAAAGAGGTAAAGGGGCAGCTAAGTGGTGCAGTGGATAGAGCACCTCCTGAAGTCAGGAGGACCTGAGTTCAAATCTGGCCTCAGACCAAACACTTGACACTTACTAGCTGTGTGACCCTGGGCAAGTCACTTAACCCCAATTGCCTAAAACAAACAAACAAAAAAACACAATGAAGTAAAAAGGAGAGAGAACTGTCAAGAGTGAAGAACATATCTAGGATATACCCATCTTTTCCATTAATACATACACACAACAGACACACACTTATAAACAACAGGCATGCACATCTAATTTGTTTTTCATTTGTATAGGGAACTCCTAATAAGGAAACTACTACAGCAGACCCTAGCCCACTCTTCAGCTTAGAATCTTTGAAATTTATCATGAGAGGTTAAGAGATTTGCCAAGGTCACAAAGCCAGTATGTGTCTAAGGCAGGATTTGAATCCAGGTCAAGGCCATTTACATTCACTATGTCAGGCATCGTCTTTTCATGCAAATCAATACTCAGAGGAAATTTTAAATTGTATTCCTGTTTTCCAAGATGATATCAATCCTGATGTATTTGTTGTCTGTAGCCAATATGTTACAAATTTCATTACCAATGAAATTGATATATAACAATATAAATTGATAACAACATGCAACAATATAAACTCAGCATCAACTGTTACAGGAGACATTACTCTGGTCGACTGTGTACACCTAACAGAAGAATAGTCCTCAAAATACATCTTATTCTGGTAGTATTATCATAAAGCACAGTGTTAAGTCTTACTGAAGTCCAAGCTATATACTGTGGTACAACTATTATTACCGCTGTCTGAATTGTGTCAGAATCAATAAAATAAAGAGCCTGAATTTCTCATATTAGACCACATTTATCAATGTGCTTTTTTAAGGCTGGGCTTTTGAGTGTCAACTTAAAAAAGCAATAAACCAGAAATGCTAATTACTACCAGGTCTTATGTACCTTTCCAAATTCCTTTATTCCCAATCCATTTGCCATCTCAATATACTCCACTTCCAGACTTTCCGACTGTCTACAAGGCCAAGGAGGGGTATATGCTACCCTATTTCATAGTTAAGTGTAGATCTACCAACAACTTGTACTGTTGTAACCCTCAGTTTCTACTAACCAAGGAATCTTTTTACACTTCACAGATTTCAGGATTGGAAAGGACTCCAGAGGCCTTTGCATCCAACTCATACCTGAACAATATTCAGAAGAATCCCTTCCATATTAGTGTGAACAAATGTTCATTCAAAGTTCATTTTAAAATCTCCACTGATGTCCAGAGATAGGCTAATTCCACTTTTAGATTGCTCTAATTGTTAGGAAATTTTTCCTTACATCAGTGTCCAAACATGTCTTTGCAATTTCGATATGGGACTCCTTGCTTTGTTCTCTGGGGACCAGAAAAACAAAGTATTCACCTGAATACCTCCAGTGTTGGAGAATCACAGCACTTCTGGAGTCAGCTCATTGTACCTCTAATTTGTTCTAACAGTCAAGGACTTTTTCCTTACATCAAGCCTAAATCTGCCTCTTGGCCATTTTCACCCATCCTACCAAGCAGGACAATTTGACTACTCTTTCAGCTCAAATCCTTGGAAAAACGTCTGCCATACCCCCACCCCCAGGCTTCTCTTATCCAAGCTAAACATCCCCATTTCCTTCACATGACCACTTTATATCATGAACCGGGAACTATTCACCAACCTGGTGGCTGGCTCTGCAGCTCACTCTTCCTAAAACGTGTCTCCTCGATCTGAAACACAACACTGCACAAGAGGTCTGACCAGGCACAAGAACCACATAACCCTGATCAACTGCACTATCAATCAATCAATCAATCAATCAGCAAGTATTAATTAAGTGCCTATTATGGCGGGGGTGGAGGGAGGGAGGACAGACACTGTGCTAGTCACTAGGGATACAAGTACCCCACCACAAAATACTTACATTCTAACACAAGTACCTGTGCAGAGACATATAAAGTGATTATGTCAATAAGTATACAAAGTACCTAAATACAAGGTCTTCCGCTGTGGGGGTGGGGTTGGGATCAATGACTGACAGCCCGGATTTGTGGAGCTTCTCATCAAGTCTAGCGCCCCGGGGCCTCAGTTGCTCCATCCGGGTGGGAAGAATGGGGGTTGGTTCAAATATTCCTCAAGGCCCCTTCTTGGCTCTCCGGCTTCGTCCCCAGGCTCGAAGGCCTCTAGTGGCCCCAGACCCGAGGCCTACCTGAAGAGAGGAGGCGGCGCCGCCCTCTCGCGCTCCCCCCTCGGGAAGGGGCAAGACAAGGAAACCCTTCAAACAGCCAGGGACTGAGAGACCCTTCCCCCGACCCTCCGGGGCCCACCTGTTGGCCTACTCATCCTCTGGGGGCGGCGGAGGAGGGTCGGGCCGCTAGTGGTGGGGCTCGGCTCCGGCGGGTGCTAGGTGCTACCACACAGCTCCGCGGCTACCTCAGCGCGACCGTTCAAATCTAACCGCCTCGCGCCGCGCAGGCGCACACGGCGCGCCGGCGCGCCCGGGAAGCGATACAACCTTAGCTCCGCCCACCTCCGCCCCTTCACCTATCCCAGCTTAAGGCATCAAACCCAGGCTGGTGTCCCAGCCTCATTTTCGATTGGGCGGCTCCGTTTTATTATTTCTCCCTTTCCTTCGCCTTTCGTCTATCTTTCTCCTTTCTTTCTGCGTCCATTCTAATTATCCCGGGAGCATTCTTTCTTTCAAAGAGCAGTCCGTACAGTATGGCGGCGGCCACTTCAAGTTTTGTTTTTTTTTTTAACGGGGGCGCTAGCTTGCTATAATGAAGTATCAGGATCAATGTAGTCATTCGTACGGAATGGCGACTTCCGTAACAGTACGTCACTACCCAGATGGTTATATTCCCTATAGCTGCCAGGAAGCCATAGACTTCTGTGACGAGGTGGCCGAGTGGTTAAGGCGATGGACTGCTAATCCATTGTGCTCTGCACGCGTGGGTTCGAATCCCATCCTCGTCGATCTGTGTTTTGCTTCCAGTATCCTCATATTTTCAGTCTTTCCAGAAAAGAAAGATGAGACAATTTAACTTCCCCTCCACATCTGTTGCAATTTTGCCTCAAGTTTCACTAAAAAAGATACCTACAATACTTTTAAGGCAGAAAGATAAAAAAAGGTAATTCAGCCTCTCATCCTCATCTGTTGCAGTTTTGCCTCAAGTTTCAATAAAAAAATTTTTGCAATATCTTTAACACAAAATGACAAAAGAAAACAATTTAGCCTTTCATCCATATCGGTTGCAGTTTTGCCTCAAGTCTCAGTAAAAAAGATATTTGCAATGCCTTTAACACAAAAAGATAAAAGACAATTTATCCTACCTTAGAGATAACTTGCCCAACAGTATTTTCTACTTTAAGAATCAATTTATCTCACCATCTTCCTATTAGTAATGTCATACACATAGTATGCAACTCAATAATTTTTGTTGAACAAAATAAGTAAATAATGACAATTCTAGAATGCTTCTTACCTCCCAGGGAAAGAAAAGGTGGAGAGGTTAATCTAGAAATTAGAAAATCTGTGGTTTTCATTCCTTCCTCCCCCTCCCTCTTTTTTCTTTTTGCAAAGAATAAACTATGTAACACATAGAATGTCTTCATGACTGTCAATGGGCTTACTTTCCAGACCTAGATCTGCTCTTGGGGGTTTACAAGTAATGGTGGGGCTTCATATTCCAGGCACTGCCATCAGGATCTCTCCCCAATTCCAATCAGACATTTCTGAGTGGGGTAAGTGGGCAAGCCACTGACATGTGTTCTTTCTTTCCTTATGCAGCAAGTGGAAATGATATTAGGAACAAGTGGTGAAACAACAGAGGAAAAACAGTGCATGTATTTGTAGTAGGGAAAAGGCCCAAGTTCAAATATTGCCTTTGATAATTACTCGTGTTGTGGCCCTGGGGAAGTTCCTTAACTGCTTTGTGCCTCTGTTTCTTCATCTGTATAATGGAACTGGAGTCAATGGCTTCTCAGATTAGAAGTCACTTCCAGCTCTGAGTCTGTGATATGTGATCTGAGTTAAGACTGGTACTTGCTAGTACTATAACCATAGGCCAGCTGATTAACCTCTCTAAACCTTCTAGTTCCCCCTCTGTAAAACATGGATAATTCTCACTCTCACTGAATGGTTATTAAGACAACAAAACACTCTCTGTATAGGGATAATTAATAATAAGGTAGAAACAACAGGAGCATCCCCAGCTGTAACCACGAGCTAGAAATCTGCATCTCAGGAACCCAAGGGCTTTCTTTCCAGAGGGCAGGGCTCTATTGATTCCAAGAAATCAGGCACATCATCCTGCATGAAGAGAATGAAGTAGGGAGGACAGGAAGCTCCTCAGTTGCAAATCAACAGACAATCCTCCCTCATCTCTGCTGAAAAGCAATCTTCCATTCAGATTGGGGAAAAACCATCCCTTCTCCTAGCATGAGAACAGTTGTGCCCTTGCAGAACGTGCAGGCACATTTAGAAATGATAATAACTGACATTTATTTAGCTCTTTAAGATTTTCTAAGTCTTTACATGTTACTTGTTCGGGCCTCACAACAATCCTATGCACTGGGTAGTGGACATATCTTTTTCTGTACTGACTGGCATAATTTCATATTATTTTGCATTACACAGGAAAGAAAACAAGATTTAGAGTAAGGGGACTAGGATTTGAATTCCAGCTCTCTCATTACCTGTGTGACCTCAGGTTTGATGTGTGACACTCAATATTCCTTGGCCTCAGTTTCCTCATCTGTAAAATGAGAGGGTAGGGCTACAGGAGGTCCTTCCCAGCTTTAAATCTATGGCATGGTAGTCTACATTCCAACCAGTCAGTCATTTATTAAGTGTCTATGTGCCAGGCATTGTGCTAAGCTTCTGGGATGCAGGAAAGAAGCCAAGAGTCCCTCTAGTAACCCACAATTGAATGGGATTAGATAATCAAACTGTACACCTCTTATTTCTCTCTCATCTACCCTGCTTTTGCTCTTCCAGCTAAATTAGGATAGTGTATATGTAACAAGGGTTGACCTAGAGCAGGCCTGCACAACTTAGGGCCCTCGGGCTGCTTGTGGCCCATCAAAAGATTTTGGGCAGCTGGTGAAAAAACGTAGAAGGTGTAAAAGAAAGTAAAGATGTGCTAAGTGCTTTGTCCATGCCTGCTTTATCCGCCTTAGCTAGTCACCATGTGTCCATCATGTAACTTGTCAGGTGGGTTGCCGATGCTCACTCTCCTGTTTGTCACATGACCTGTGGCGGAAAAACTATCATCAGACCGTCTCTAGTCTGAGAGAGTGAGAGTCGTTTCTTTTTGCTGTGTTTTTGGAAGCTACTAAATGTAAACGATAAAAAAAAAACTTGAAAAATGTATTGAAACTTGCACCATTTAGCAAAGTAATTTTTTTAACATTAATATGATTTCATGATAAATAAAAATCTTAAGTAATAAGTGTAATTAATTGATATTAAATGAAATTTCCCTTTTTTAAAATACAGTTTATTTGCAAAATAGTTTAATCATTAATTATACCTTTACTTGGAAAGTGAGCCCCTAAAAACCTATCTTCAGCCCAAAGAAGTTTAGCCTACTTTAATTTTGGCCTCTACTTGCAGTCAGGTTGTGCAGCTCTGCTCTAGAGACCTCTGATCAATTGAGTTCCAAGCTCCCCTGCAATCTAATTGATTGATCGATGAACTTGTAGGATGTAAGGGGCAGATAACAGAGATAACGAGATATATTTATTTGTATAGTTGTCTCTGGAAGCTCCTTGAGGGTGATGACTGTTTCATTTTTGTATCTGGAGCCCCAGGACCTGGCACAAATGTCTGGAACATAGTGCTTACCAAATGCTTGCTGATTAATTGAATAAAAGCTCCAGCTTCCCTCAGTCCTCTCTAATCACCTCATCCACAGCCTCCCAGATAAGTATTCATGCATGACTTCCACTCTTCCTTCACTCCCTCCAGCTCTGGAACCATGTTGTCGTTCGGTCATATCTGACCTTTCATGACCCCTTGTGAAGTTTTCTTGGCCAAATACTGGAGTGGTTTGCCATTTCCTTCTCCAGCTCATTTTACAGATGAGGAAACCGAGGCAAATAGAGTAAAGTGACTTGCCTAGAGTCATGCAGGTAGTTCCTGTCACACAGCTAAATCCTGTTAGATTTGAGCTCAGGAAGATGAGTCCCCCTAACTCCAAGCCACTGAGCCATCTAGCTACCCTATGCTTCCTAGCTGAAACCATGAACTATAATCAAATCAACTCCGACATTGTTGCTGGGTGGAGTGTGTATGTCAATCTACTCTCTTCAGGCCCCATTTACTATCCCACCAACTTCCCTAATGGGTATGGTCTCCCCTCAATAGAAGGTTAGCTCCTTGAGGGCAGGGACTTGTTGTAGCTTTTGTATTAATATTCCCAATGTTTAGCACAGGGTCTAGTACATACAAAGAGCCTGAAATGCTTTTTCATTCACTCATTCATTCAGAGGTCCATTTCAAGTGTTAGGTTCTCCAGGTAGTCTTCCCAGGGTTCCCTCCAAATAATTGATTTCTACCTCTTGTTTCTCATGGCATCTTTCTTGTACTAGTTCTTCTTTTCCTCTTTGTTTTTCCCTCCCTCTCTCTTAGAACATAGGGTTTTATTTTGTGTGTGTGTGTGTGTGTGTGTGTGTGTGTGTGTGTGTGTGTGTATTTATCCTTTCCCCCACAGGATTCAAGTTGAGAGCACAGCCAGGTTCATATCAGTATTTGTATTCGTAGTACCTTGTCCACAGTTGGCACTTAGTAAATGTTCACTGAACTTGAATTGTTACTTTACAAATGAGGCAACTGAGGCTCAGAGACATTTGTCTTGTTCAACATCACAGAGCTAATAAATAGTTGAGATTGTACTGGGTCTCATTTTTTTTCCCCAACTAACAATGCCCTTCCACTACAAAATTATGTAGAGCATTAGTAGAACAAATAGCAATTCCTTCCTTCCACAGAATTGATTAAACAGAAGACACACACATCCAGGAGATAAAATAGTTTTATTAACACCATAAGAATGGATGACATCAATCAGGAAGACTAGAAAAAGAGATAAGGGCAGAAGACAAGGGGACAAGCACTATTTAGTTAGTGGGAAGCCTGGAAGTTGAATTTCAAAAAAGCTCCTTAAGGAGAGTCAGAGAGTAAAATTGTACAGCTTGGGGACCACTATGGCTAGACTTCTCCAGGGGACCTTTAGGCACTTGTCTGACAATCCAAGGAGTAAAAGACACTTGAACTAGAAACAGAGGGTCATAGGCCAGAAGGGCTCTGTCACACCTAGTAGGTAACTCCCCTAGTTGCCTTTCTGGTGCATATCACTCATATGGGAGGGAAAGGTATTGATGCATATGTTTTGATTTGTCTCAGGGGAAGTGAGCATAGATGATCTAATC